GGTCTATCTATTCTACAATATGCGGATGCCACTATCCTTTTCTTGGATCACGATCTAGACAATGCAAGAAATCTCAAGTTGCTCCTATGTGCTTTTGAGGAACTTTCTGGTCTCAAAATCAATTTTCATAAGAACGAACTCTTTTGCTTTGGCGATGCTGCAGAATCAGCACCTGAGTATGCTAAGATTTTTGGATGTCAGCTCGGGCAGTTTCTGATTCGATATCTGGGTATTCCCATACACTATCGGTGTTTAACTATCACTGAGTGGAAACATGTGGAAGAGAGACTTGAGAAACGTCTAGCCAGTTGGAAGGCCAAACTCTTGTCTTACGGGGGACGTTTGATCTTGATCAATTCTGTCCTAAGCAACATGGTTCTATATATGTTGTCATTCTTCCACCTACCGGAAGGGGTTCTCCAGCGACTAGACTACTTTAGATCCAGATTTTTTTGGCAGTGCGATAATGAATCCAAGAAATATCGACTGGCTAGGTGGAGCGTATTATGCAGACCTAAAAGTCAAGGGGGGCTGGGAATTCAAGACCTTGAGATAAAAAATATTGCTCTTCTCAGCAAGTGGGTTTACAAACTACTCTCTGAGAATGGGGTATGGCAGGAAATCATTCCCAACAAGTATGTGAGATCCAATGCCATTTCTCAAGTTCATTGGAAACCCGGGGATTCACATTTTTGGAGTGGCGTGATGAAGGCCAAGGAATTCTTTTTCCAATTTGGGACCTTCTCGGTTAGGGATGGTTCTCAGGTTCGATTCTACGAAGACACCTGGCTAGGGAGCAACCCACTAATGGTGCAATATCTGAGCTTGTACAGGATTGTCGGACATAAATTTGTCACGATCAAACAAGTTTTAGGACAACAAAACCCTGATATTTCTTTCCATAGGGACCTTCTTGGCCCTTGCCTGGCAACATGGAATGAATTACGCACTCGTCTGGAGGACATTCAATTGTCAGGTGAGCCGGACGTTTTTTGATGGAACTTGCATCAGAATGGCAAATTTTCTGTCAAATTCATGTATGATGCAATGGTTCATTATGACGTTCCAGTTGATAACAGGAAATTGTGGAAGCTCAAAATTCATCTAAGAGTGAAGATTTCCTCTGGTTTCTACATAGAGGAGTCATCCTAACTAGAGATAATCTGGCACGACGAAACTGACATGGTTTAAGAGATGTGTCTTTTGCCAACATGACGAGACTATTAGACACTTATTCTTTGAGTGCAAATTCGCTCGGGTAGTTTGGGCCATAGTTCAAGTAGCTTCTAATTTATACCCACCACGTAGTGCACGTAATATGTTCGGCAACTGGTTGCGGGGTATTGATAAACAATTTTCTGCACATATTCTTGTAGGAGCGGCGGCCTTATGCTGGGCACTGTGGCTTACCAGGAATGATGTGATCTTTAATAACAAATCTGTCTCATCCTCTATGCAGGTTATTCATGTTTGTACACGATGGCTCCGTACTTGGTCTATCCTGCAGAGGCCGGAGGACAAGGACCTTTTTATAATGGCGTCTACACGGCTAGAGCGTTCGGCCAGGGAGGTTTTCTACCCTCATGGATGGCGGTGTGATCTACGGATAAGATCTGCCGCATCTTAGCCTCGACATGATTTATTTGCTTTGCTTTGTACCGAATTATTTTTATTCTTAGGGCACTCTCGACTTTTTGGATGTGTGCATCTAGCTATGCAGAGGCCGGGCTTTCTTTCGATGCGATTGTATCACCTCGATATATTTATTTAATAAAATGTCCTTTATCGAAAAAAACCAATTCCTCTCTTAGGGAAACCTCATGGAATTAAGATGTGTGTAAGTGAGCTACTTTGTGCTGTAGGGGGACAAGGTCTGTTTTAAGTAGCACCCTCCAGGAGGAGAGACTTGGATTGATCTGTCAAAAAAATTTGTCATTCCTTTGCATCCAGATCTGCCAGCAGGCCATAATAATTAAGTTCATACAAACTTGAATGTGCTGCTAGACCCGGAAGCCCACGGCTCCTCTGATCTGCTGATCATCGCCATTTGCCGGTGCCGACGTTCGAGCAGCCGCTTACTGCCTCGCAGGACGATTGGAATAAAAAGGTTCAAAAGGGCATTGCCACACGCGACAAGATGGGACTGAAAGAAAAGAGCTCGAGGTGTGCAGTGTGGGAAATGGGCGAAGGAAAAAAGAAGGCGTCGGTGGAGGGGCATGCAATGCGGCAGGGCCCCCACTTATTATCGGCGCGGCGGACGGACGGACGGGGCGGTGCAGAGATATGTGGGAGGGAGGAGGCACCGCGAACGGAGGACACGGGACTCCTCTTCTCCACATGGGGGCGTACAGTAGAGGTCTAGAAGAGGAAGGGGCGGGGCCATTGATGTGCTGTGCGGCCAGATGCGGCGCGGTCCCTCCGCTCCGGCGTAACCACCACCTTCTTGATTCCAACCCACGCAACGCAACGTACCAAAATCTCTCGTGTCCTCCCATCAGATGTTCAAGTTTTTTTACGCGCCGAAGCAGAAGCGAAGGCCATGGATTTGCTCGCGGCTACGTACAGAGTGGGGTGCCTGTGTTTTATCACTTTGGAGTTTGGACTAGGGCACCCGGTGCGCAACCAAGAGCGGCATGTCGGTTGCATTGATCGTCACGGGCTAGTACTACGAGGTCGGCACGTCGTTCCACCGGCCATCTCTTTCCTCCCACCTCCCATGTCCATGTGCCTCCACATGCGCGGAAATGTATGTACACGGAATTCAGAATAGGACGTCTGTGCTCTACCACGGTGTCGATATTTACCGCAGCTAGTACGTACAGTACGCCGGATTCAGCGTTTGCAGAGACGGGACAAATAAAGAGAGGTATGCCACACCGCAGTTAAGCATCGTCACTTACTGCACGAACATCCAAAGCCATCGTCACCTCTTCCTTCCTTTTTTCTTTCTCGAAAATACCTCTTCCTTCCTTGAGAGCCGAGGAACAAACTAAGTTTCAGGAAGGCACTCATGATTGCTCCTCAAATGGCGTTGCAGATAGGGTGCCTGTCTTTATCAGAATCGCACCTTCAAACACTGAAATGGAGCGATATGCAGTTATGCACATACAGGGTAGCAGGAGTCGATCAGGGCCACATACTATTACTAGAAGAGATCACACGCGAGTCGCTACAGACCAATTGCAGCTATTCTTTTCTTTTTCTACCTTCACGCAGTGAGCGACGCGAGCGTGGCGGGGCAGTTCATCTTCATCGCGACCAACCGTACATTACTAGCTCAAGGACAAGAGTGAAGCACGTGGGATTAGTTTACCGGTGGACTTTTTTTTCGAAACAAAGGTAAAAAGATTTGGTTAACGGAAAACCAGGCAAAAACCGTCACAATCCGTTGAGCGGTACACATAGTATACCCCACACACTCCTTTCTAAAGAGGGCTTCGTCGAACTAGCACACATGCGTCATTAATCCCGAGCAAGCGACTCTAACTTGACCATAAACAAGTATCAACCCAACCCATTCCATAAGGGTCATGTGAAGATAAATGAAGATTTGCATCATTACTCAGCCACTCGCGTCCAGGACGACGCAACACCGGCTCCGATGGAGAGCTACGAAGAACTATGTAGCGGCTGGTGTGCCAGTAGGGTGAGTTGGTGACAAGGCTTCTATGGCAACGATGGCGGTGGTGAGCGAGGCCGGAAACACGACAATGGTTGTATTAGTCGGCTCTTTTTTTGTGTTTGTTGGATTGCCTTGGTTTGTTTGTTGCTGTGAAATCGGAGCTGCGGCGGCGGGCCCCTGTGGTAACGATGACGAGCAGTAGGTGGTCTATTCGGTGGTCTTTATGGCGGGGGGGCCCTCCAACTGACTCCCCCCTCTCCTTTCAAAGATGAAGCCCTCAAGAACGGCATGACGCAGTATGCCGTCATCATCCGATCCATGAATGCACAGATCCGATGTTTCCCTTGAAGAAAGGGTCGGTATAGAGATGAGCGCTTCACCACGGCAACACCTTCAAAAAGATTGCGACGCCCACAAACGCCACCGTCGCGGCTTCGGCCATAACTGGAGTCAAGCTTTCGCCCCATGTCGTCGCACCACACCCATACCTAACCAACTGAACCTCCAGCAATGCATCACCATCTGTCGACGGAGAACAGCAAGGAGCCGCCTAGTCAGCCGCACTGTGCGGAGGCCGCAAGCGTCCAGCCATCAAATCCAGCCGGCAAACCACGACTGGCCATATCCAAGACTTCCCACCGCGGACTGAAGCCATCGCGCCCTGCCAGCACCTGATGACATAATGTTCGAAAATTCTAAAAAAAAAATGCATACTGGCAAAGGTATGTCCACGGCACAAAGTTTTGTGTAAAAAATTATTTTTGTTTTGTCTCAGTAAAAAAGATAAATTTTACTGCTTCTAAATAGCGTTTCACGGCATAAAATTTTGTCTTTTTTGCACAGGCTACAAAAAAAGTTGTTTTTCTGTGAAACTTTCTACACACACATAGAATATGGAGATGTCCGCACGCATTTTTTTTAAAATTTTAACATTGCAAAATGTGTTTTTTAAAATGAGTTCATATGTATCCGGGTCCATCCATGCACTTCTCGGCTTGAGATGGATTTGGTAAACCCTACCGAGGACCGCAAAACCGTACTGTTCTACCATCGTGTCCTTTTCACTACCCCATGTGAGGTGCCAATAAATTGCTTCCATGCGCCGGTACCGACGAAGTTAATGTCCCCCTCTCCACCCCCACCCGCGTAACGAACCCAAACTGTAGCTCAAAAAACAGCTCTGTGCACAAAATGGAACACCAAAGACCCCCTGACAAGTGGGTCTCCATCGTCTACAGTCTGAGATTTACTCAATGGCGCGACTGTGAAACGAAGCCTTGTAAGCTCTGGTCTATTTAAGCACCCACTGAGCTTCAGCTCACCGCCACTGCCATCCAGTTTCAGAGTGCGCAACCTAGCACGAAACCTCCCAGAAGAAATGAGGCTTCGTCATGGAGCACCAGTTGCTCTGTCCGTGCTCGTGCTGCTGTGCGTCCATGGAGGACAAGAAGCGGAGGCTGCGGGAGGCGGGTTCGTGAGGGCGCAGGGCACCCGCTTCGTCATCAACGGCAGCCCCTACTACGCCAACGGCTTCAACGCCTACTGGCTCATGACCATGGCCGCCGACCCCGCGCAGAGGGGCAAGGTCACCTCCGCGCTCAGCCAGGCCGCGGCCCGCGGCCTCTCCGTCGCCAGAACCTGGGCCTTCAGCGACGGCGGCAGCAATGCGCTGCAGTACGCCCCCGGCAGCTACAACGAGAACACCTTCAAGGTCCTTGCCGGCATTTTGCTAAACTTTTCTCTTCGTAACTTGTACTTTCTGAAACATTCGGTTTATTGGATCATTTGGTTCCTTTCCTTCAGCTGCTATATAATTCGCCTATGATTCTGTTTCCCTGAGAGGATTTTTGTTTGTTGTTGCTGTTGTTGTTTGTGCGTGCAGGGGTTGGATTTTGTGCTGTCTGAGGCTAGGAAGAATGGGATTAAGGTGATACTGAGCCTTGTGAACAACTACGACACTTTTGGAGGGAAGAAGCAGTATGTAGAGTGGGCAAGAGGGCGGGGGCAGGCCGTCGGATCTGAAGATGACTTCTTCACCAACTCTCTTGTCAAGGGCTTCTACAAGAACCATGTCAAGGTACTATAAACAAGAACAAATCTTGAGTAATTTGCAACGTTTTTTTGCAAGATTTTACCATCTTTATTTAACCATTATTTGGTCCTTTCTCGATGAAGTAAAGATGCTTGGTTTTCTTCTTATTATTACGTGGGAGAAATTACAAGATTTTGTGGAGTATAGTTGGCAATCCTTGTTCTTGCTTTTGCTTTTGCTTTTGCTTTGTGGTGTAGGAGTATTACTTTTTAGAAAACATAACCGTGAAACCCTTCCAGGGGATAAATATTCACCATTGACAAGTACCACCAAGGTCAAAATAACGTAGAGTAACTACTTAACTGTTTTGCTCTGCTCAGTACGTAGTATGTCTACACCGGGGCACCGAGAGTGTCAGTATTCCGACGATTTTTTTTAATTTTAATTCGTGGGAATACTGTTAGATGGATGCTTCTGGACACCAGACGACTAGTCAAACACCACTCGGCTGGGCCGTGCTCCTACTGACTCTCACTGCGACATGATGATACCTCTCTGAATCTCTTTATTGGCACTCCCGGCACGCTCGTGACAACTTTACTTTTGCATCATGGAAGACGGTGCTGACGAGGGTGAACACGGTGACCGGGGTGGCGTACAAGAACGACCCGACGATCCTGGCGTGGGAGCTGATGAACGAGCCCCGGTGCCAGTCCGACCTCTCCGGGCGGACCATCCAGTCGTGGATCAGGGAGATGGCGGCGCACGTCAAGTCCATCGACGGCAACCACATGCTGGAGGCCGGCCTGGAGGGCTTCTACGGCGCGTCCTCGTCCCGGGCCGCCTCCGTGAACCCGGCCGGGCGCCAGGTGGGCACCGATTTCATCGCCAACAACCAGGTCCCCGGCATCGACTTCGCCACCGTGCACTCGTACCCGGACCAGTGGCTGTCGAGCTCCGACGACCAGGCGCAGCGGAGCTTCCTGGGCAGGTGGCTGGACGCGCACATCGCGGACGCGCAGGGGACGCTGCGCAAGCCGCTGCTGATCGCCGAGTTCGGCAAGTCGCAGAGGGACCCCGGGTTCAGCAGCGCCCAGCGGGACGCGCAGTTCGGCATGGTCTACGCCAAGATCTACGAGTCAGCGCGGAGGGGCGGCCCCACGGTGGGCGGGCTCTTCTGGCAGCTCATGGCCGACGGCATGGACTCCTACGGGGACGGCTACCAGGTCATCTTCGCGGAGGCGCCGGCGTCCACCACCGGCGTCATCACGGCGGAGAGCCGCAAGCTCAAGATGCTCGGCAAGGCGTTCGCGCGGGCCGAGCGCGCCAAGCGGGACGCGGGCGGGAAGGTCACCGGTGGCAATTAGAGAAGACCACCGACCACGACTACAACAAAGGATAAGAATGCGTGCTTTCTTTCGTGTGTGAGTGAGTCAAGTTCTCCTCGAGATGATTCAAGATTATTCATCCGGGAGAGAAGGAGTAATATTTGTCATCCTTCTTGCTACCTTCCTTGGGAAGAGGACATGTTTTCTTCAGTGTTTTTGTGGATCACGAGATAGCCAAATGTGGACTGATCATCATGGCTTCGGAAGAAGCAGCCGGTGATTAGAACCTTGATCATACTGGCTTTTAGTTTTTATCCATCTTGATCTTAGTGAAAATCACTTGCGAAATACTGGAAGCCGGTGACTAATGAGTATGAAAGCCTGCCTCATTATATTGGACAAATCATAACAGACAGGTTTATTATTATCTCGGATCATACGAGCATTATTAAGCATGTAACATATGCACACACATGCTTTGCATGCCCAAGACCAAACCGACCTGAAGATTAGACAGCTCTGCGGCTCATCCGCCCACCACGGGGGAACCCTATGCCGCCTTCGCGAACCCAATCTTCATGTTGCCATAGTCGAAGACGGTATGGTAGGCTCCCATGAATATATCGCCCAGGATCCTAGGACAGCAAGTTCTCACTGTCAGAGTCGTGGACAGCAGTTTCGTGGAGCATTTACTTTCAGTATTTCAAGGGTGTTTAGCACTCCAACGGCTGCAGATAAATCTCACAGATGAAGAAACCTTAATTACTAATAACCCGTTTGTGTTATGAGAGTTCAATAGTACTCCCTCCATAAACTAATATAAAAGTGTTTAGATCACTATTTTAGTAATCTAAACGCTCTTATATTAGTTTACGTAGGGAGTACTACACTAAGATGGGGTCAACGTGGATAAAAGCAAGAGGCTCTGAGAATATAAGGGGTGCATAATTTTACCAGAGAGGGCCACGGGGACGAGGAATGTCCATGGCCGTGAATCCGCTGATGCACTGGGTAGCATCCCCCTCACCGATCTTCAGGATATACTAACAACGGAAATCAAAAGTGAAACAAATTCAGTTTACTGCAAATAAAAACAGAATATACAAATCTGAACGTATGACAACCACTTGCATAGAGCACTCAGAATTTTGACTAAGAAAGTAAGTAGTACGTAATAGCTGTAGCAGTCCCCTATATGTAACCTTCGCCACCAGTTTGTGCACTATGGTCTCCACAGGTTGTTGTTTCCTTTCCGGTCGTACTAATTTAGTTGCAGTTACCAAACATAAAACTGAATGACCAGTCTTAACTATGACTCTATGAGTGGAGTAATAAGCCTTGTGTGTCTCTTAAACTTTCATGTACAAGCAAAAAAAATTTAATCAAAATCATGCTTAGCTTCATACATCAGTGTCAGTACGCCTGTGTGAAACCCTAAGAGAACTAGTCTACATTTATTTTTTGAAAATGAAAAAGACCCTAGCAAGAGAACTGATCTACTGAAATTTACATGCCTGTGTGTCTAATATGTTCTTTCCAAGAGTATTAATTTCGAAAAGTATAGGACCAAGTCTACAACATGGATGAAAGGACTGAATAATCTTCATCTCGAATGTTTTAAAAAAAATGACAGTATTTGCTAAAATTCTAAACATGATAGCTAATGTGGATGTAGTTCCACACAGAAAATGCGCAATGTAATAACCATAGAAAAGCAGTACTTGCTCTGGTGTCAGCACAAACTGTTTGCCCCCGATGGAGAAAGCGATGTCAGGCATGGATGCAAGTCTGCCGCAGTCCACAGATGATTCTCCCATAGGGCTAGGAATACGGTCACATAGCTGCAAAGTTGAATCAGTTTGCCAAAGTTTGTAAAACTGTGTTACGATGTGATTCTCTCACTGGTGTTACAAGATATACTAGGAAACATGCCTGATTAATGTACTTAAAAATAAGATCCTGAGTTTGATTCTTTGCAAGTTGGTTCGTCATCCATACAACAGCCATCTCACAAGCATGGCACATGACATCATTTGATCTCCCACCTTCATGATCTAGCACACTTCGACTACCAGCCCTGCCATCACATTACATGCGGAGACAATGTATATAATATGAAAGGTACATCAATAAAACAATGTGAAAAGTAAAAAGGACGTGAAACCGACTTCATGCACTTAAGCTATGTTTCTTAAGTGCCGGTTAGGGAAAAAATTGGTGAAGTTTTGGTAATCAAAACTGTAGCAAAAGAATTGGGTCCAATTTGAGAACCCACGGTAAAAATAATTTTCTAACACAAAAGTGCCATGCAGACATAAACTCGGCTCTGCATTGTTGGTTCTAATCCCGACGCCGAATCTCATATCCCCAATGGAGGCTTTTTTTTTTTGAGAATGACTTTTTTTTGAAGTGCCAGATTTTGAATTTGGCCAAAAAAAATCCATAAATTTAATACTCTGGTACTTGCATTGGCATCATCCATAATCAAGTGACCACTAATTTGCAGCTAATTGCAAGTGTAAATACTAAGTCTATACATCGACATGAAAGGTGCAACATTTTTTGATCTAATCAGTCCAAACCATCTAGAAGATTGATCAAATGGATGAGAAAATAAGTGGGGACCTTGTACTTTGTAATTACTCACACACTAATTACTCTCTTATTTGCACAAGTATTCTTTTAATTTTATCAAATGATTTTCCTTTACTACTCGATGTTTCAGTCCCATCTTTTTCTGGTTCAGTTTACAACTTGTGTTATTGTGCACGGTGCTCTCTAGATCCCTTCTCTCGGCTATGTATGAAAATATATATAATTCATGTGATAGACACACCTCCTCTCAGTTACATATGTCAGTATATATTTAGCTGCATATATATTTGTGTAAGATGTGCATGAGTGTGAAAAGTACAAGAGTTCCCAACTCTTACCTTACACCTTGTGTTCCATCTGGAGTACATAGACCGACTAAAGAGCATATTTTTGATGGATCCATCTGCATCATAGACCCGAAAACAATATATTTATAATCCTAACATAGGACTAATCAAACAAAAAAGGTTCCTCTGAAAATGTTCGAACCTCCTTTAACAGCAGATCTAGGATCCGTTGCCCATACTGAGAAACAACGGCCTTGCACTCTTGGCTGACTACCCCAGGTGCACCGATCTTTTCATTTATTTGAGTAATTATCGCCTGCATATTTCAATGTTGAATCACTAGGTTTAATACACATAATGATTAATCTAAAAATGGAATATGCACCCACCAGAGTAGAAACTATAAAGCATAGATAAGGATATGCACATATCATGCTTTAAATGGTCTACCAGGTTCTATTTCACTGATCTTCACATTCTGTAATGTACCTATTGATCCACACATGCTTTTAGAAGTTTTTAGTTACTAAATTTATTTGTAATAGTTCAAGAGCATCATGCAATTTTTTTAATGTCGTAGTGCTTGCCCTTCAGGTGTAATTACCATAATTTAATCAAAATAGAGTCTATAAATATAATTTATCAAAGCATACACCTTGTTACAATGCATATTTCCTCTGCTAAAAGGTAAAACTCGAACCGAAAGCTTATGTTAAGGAATAACTCCTTTAGGTTGCTACAAATGTTGATTGTGCTGACTTGATATTGTGAAGCCATTTTCCTTGTTTATGGAGATTAAGATAAACAGAGGTCACAGCCATACCGTGGGACCAGAAAGCAATGAAGTTCCAGAATCTGCTATAGCTGCACAGCGAGACGCACATAATCCTAGTACATAGAGAGTATAAGAAAAATATTATAAACACTTTGTTATATACATGTACATTGGGCATGCGTACTTTTTTGATAGGTCAGAGGTTACTACCTGTGGAATTTCCTCCAATCAAGACATCACCCATATCAAACTGCAAAAAGCAAGTCAAAATTTATCAGCACAAATCAGTTACCACCTTTTGAATTTTAAAATTACTCAACTAAGTGAAAGAGATCCACCTGCCAGTATCCCTTCCTAGTAACAGGGACATATGTATGATCTCCGTTATGATGATTAGGATCAATTCCTCCAAACACAATTTCCCCCCCTTGCCCTTCACCGGCATGTCTGTTCAACCACAATGAGAAAATAGGGCTACTAACTAGGCCTTGGCTAACCATGTTATACCTACAGGTTTTGTTGTGATGTTAGGGATAACGAATATGGTCTACATTTTAAGTAAGATATGCCAATAAATCAGAATAACCCTGAGTGCGGTATGTGCATCTTAATAATACACCATAAATTTTGCATAAAGTAAAATATTCACATCTACTGGTGACATCACCACCAAATATGTACAAGATATTTAGATGGAGAGACTTGCTCACCAGACAGGTACAACATCACCTTTCGAGATTTCTTTAAACCCAAGACCAAAAATGCCATCAAATTTTGCAACCATAAAAGTAATACTTGGTTCCCTGGTAGCTTCAATAAAATCCTAACATGGTAACATAATGAAATTAGTATACTCTAAAATGGGATGCACAGGATCAGATAGCATAAAATAAGTGTGCAATTCAGATGCAGGCATAAACCTGATTTTTCACAACTACATCACCAACTTGCACATTGTCCTGGCTAACATAGCCAGAAATTGCACCAGTTCCATACTGAATTGCAACTATTTTTCCTGCCAAGAGGGGAAATAGAAATTACATTCTCGAATTAAACATAATTTGCCTGCTTGCTACAAGTTAATGTAAAAAAAAGCCTAATGCCCAATTGGCTAAAAAGATCCTAATATAAGAAACATGCACGGAAAGTGTGTTAGAGCATCTCCAAAGGATTACAAAAAAAAAAACTCTCCCAATAAATGGCTATTGGGGCTCTCCCAATAAATTTCCGGAGGGTTTCCAGGTGGAGTATTTTTTCAGAGCCCCAATAAAAGTTTTATGCCTAACTGTGACCATTAATTCTATATGCCTAAATTTGACCATTAATTTTATCAATAAAAAGTGAGTTATATGCCACAAAAATTATGTCATTGGATGCACATTTGAAAGAACTTTCCGATGATATACTTTTGATAACATATAATCTATATTTTGCTGACCAAAATTATAAATCAAAGTTTGACACGAAAGTGGCCTTGTATACATAAATGGAGGGGGTATTATTATCTTATTATTAATATTGTTGTTGCTGCTGCTATGATGGTAGTTGGTAGTACTTATTTATTTCTCTATTAGCAGACTATACAAAAGAGGAAAGCTATAACTTTTGATGCAAACAGTAGCTAAATCAATGGCTACCACTAAACTCTTTCATGTTATTAGTTTATAATTTCTCCATTCTATCACATGTGTGAATAATGAATAATGTATTGACTAAGCTGGCTAAACGTTGAAAGAGTACAATATAAAGCAGTCTCAATATCACCCTAGCAATGAAATAATCCAGCCAAACAAGAAATATGTACCAGTGATAATTATTTTGGCTTAACACCCTATCAATACTTGAACACATAATTTGTATTTTTGACTAGCTTGTGCAAAAACGCTGGTGGCCTTTAAAAACATAAAGATTGATAAGAAGTTGAAAGTAAATTTTGTCTCATGTTTAAAAAAAAGAAAATTTGGTCTCTCTGATGTGTAGCTAAAATCTGAATAACTTAGAATAAAAAATTCAGATATTAGATAAAGTTTTATTTTATTTCAAAAAGTAAGACTATATTCACTCCGAGGCTCTTCTTCCTGGTGTACATCCCATATTCCCTTTAAAGCCAGCTTCAAAAAATTCAACAAAGTGGCTACTAATGGGCTCACCACGGTTGCTAACCATGCCGTCCGGCCATCTCAAACGACTTTCATGCAAGGTAGAAATATACTCGATGGAACTGTAATCCTACATGAGATCATTCACGAGATGCACCGAAAAAACATTAGTTGAGTAGTTTTCAAGATTGACTTCAGAAAGGCCTATGACTAGGTCAAATAATCATTCCTTCAACATGCCCTAATAATGAAAGGATTCTTCAATAATTGGCGATAGTGGATCCAAAATTTTGTTACTGGAGGCAGTGTGGCTGTCAAAGTCAATAATGACGTAGGCCATTACTTTCAGACGAAAAGACTACAATAAGGTGATTCCATGTCTCCAATTTTATTTAACATCGTTGATGATATGTTGGCTATTCTAATTGATTGTGTCAAGCAGGATGGTCAAATTGCAGGAGTAGTACCACACCTTGTGGATGGTGGCCTCTCTATTTTATAATATGTCGATGATACAATTCCTTTTATGGTACATGACCTGGATAAGACTCGAAATCTAAAAATATTGCTTTTAGCATTTGAGCAAATGTTGGGCCTTAAAATTAACTTCCATAAAAATGAATTATTTTGCTTTGGAGAAGCCGGTGAGGTGGTGGCTGAGTATGATGACATGTTTGGTTGTGCGCAAGGCCAATTTCTGATTAAATATTTAGGAATACTGATTCATTATCGACGTCTCACTAATGTGGAGTGGAAACATGTAGAGAAGCACTTAGAGAAACGGTTGAGCAGTTAGAAAGACAAGTTGCTCTCTGTTGAAGGACGACTGGTCTTGATCAACTCTGTCATCATAAATATGGTTCTCTATATGCTTTTTGTCCAACTCCCAAAATGAACTTGCTGATTATTTCGAATCCAGATTCTTTTGGCAAGGGACAGTGAAAATAAAAGGTCCAAACAGGCCAAATAAAAGTGTGGTTTGTAGACCGAAAGACCAAGGTGGGCTTGACATTCATCCCCTACGGGTCAAGAATGACGACTTACTAAGTAAATGGTTGTTCAAACTACTTATTGAGGATGAAGTTTGGCAAACCCAGCTACGCAGTAAGTATGTAGGGAAAAATGACGTGTTCCGGGCCTATTGAAAACCTGGTGACTCACACTTTTTGGGTTGGTTTAATGACGACGAAGAAACATCTTTTTTTCTTTGGATTCTTCGTAATAAAAGCCGAGCCAGAGATTCGTTTCTGCGAGGACAACTGGTCAAAAAATGCCAGCCTTCGAGAAAAATATCCATCTTTGTACCACATTGTGCGTGATAAGAATGATACTCTTACGCATGTGCTCAATTCATTTCCGCTGAATATTTCTTTCAGGCAGGATTTGATTAGCCCTCCGTCTTATGTCATAGCAAAATATGTTAGGAATCGATTAACCTAACACAAGGATGTGCCGTTTTTCACTGAAACCTCACTACATATGTGCTCTTCATAGTCAACTCTATGCACTACGTATTCACGCATTCAGTGGTCCCAGTGGATAATAACAAGAAAATTTGGATATCAAAGATTTTATTAAAACTTAAATCTTTATGTGGTATCTTTGGAGTGGAGTTGTGCTAACTAAAGACAATCTCGCTCGACGCAACTGGCAAGGAAGCAAGAAATGTAACTTTTGCACTCACACCAAGACAATCAAACATCACTTTTTCCAATGCAAGTTTGTCCGTTCCACGTGACCAGTCATCCAAATAGCATCCAATTTGGATCCGTCCACAAGTGTTGCCAATATTTTGATCATTGGTTGGACGAAATTTTAGATAGGTTCAGAACCATAATAAGGGTGGGAGAATATGCCTTATTATGGGCACTTTGGCTATACAGAAATGATTTGATTTTCGTAGGCAACAACACATGTCCTTTGCGGTTTATTTTCTGTTTTACACACTCGCTTCATGCGTGGTCTATGCTACACTGGACGGAGCACCAACCGTTGTTCAAGGTGGTGTATGCGGTTGGAACGGGTGGCCAAGGAGGTCTTTACCCAACATGGGTGGTAGTATAATCTTCAGATTGGTCCACCACCTCCTTCAACATAGGCATAGTATCCGTTGTATATGACTATACTGCTGATCAGTGGCGGAGCTTGCACAAAATGGTTGGGCGGGCCAGGCTGTTAAGATTGCTACTAGCTGGTATGCTGGCTATAATAAGAGGATCTCCAGAGCTGGGTGAGCCATGACCCATTTGGCCTTGCCTAACCTCTGCGAGTGTTGTTGATATGTCACATTTTTTATATTCTTCTGTCAGTTTGTTAGTGTTTTGCATCTTATTTATGCAGAGATGGAGTGTTGTTCATCATGCTTTATATCCGCTTGATACTATATTTTGTGTTAACAAAAATGCTCTTTATCAAAAAATCAACAAAAACAAAATACTGTGGAGCTTGAGAAGAGATTACGATAGGAAGGGCCAAGGCACAAACCATTCTTCTTGTACGTGCTGGACCGCTTGGCCTTGTAGCTCGCATGGAAGTAGCATGCAATCTGCAGCATAAATCACAAAACGCGCACTCCAGATTAGTTAGTATGATAAACCAAACTGTGTAGAACCCTGAATCACGGCAGCCAACACGGGCGGGGCGCACCGAGAGGAAGCACTTGGAGGAGGGCACCCAGAGGTTGGAGCTGCCTGTGTCGAAGATGACGGTGAAGTTCTGCGGCGGCGTTCCGATGCCGATCTCGCCGTGGTACTGAGCGTTGTGGTAGTTCTTCAGTGCCACGACGTGGCCCTTTGCCTCGGCGTCATCTCCGGTGAGGCGGCCAGCGACGAGGACGACGCCGTTCTCGTCGACTGGTCGCTTCTTCAGCGCGATGCGGACAAGGCCCTCCGCGGGCGTGGCGAGGAGGGCATGGAGGAGCACGTTGGAGAGGAGGAGGAGGTGGAACACGAGGCGGCCAGTTCCCATGGTTGCGCCGCGAGCTGCAAATTACAGAGAGAGAGAGAGAATACCGATGAAGTGAGACCGGAAAAGGAGCAGACCACTCTGGGGCGGGGGGTGTCAATTTATGAACTTGATTGGTGTGGCTATATGATCACCCAATATGTCGCAAATTCTGCGTGATCGATTGAAAAAGTTGATCCAGGAAGATACTGGACCACGGTTGTGTTCACGCAACAAAAAGGTTTTGCAGCTTGTACCATTCCCACAAAAAAGACAGAATTTTGCTTGTGCGTGCAGTGTACTAGTGTCTACCGCACGGTTCACAAATCTCACAAAGCACGAGCAGAAACTCTCTTGTCATTGCAAAAGGGGAAAGTTCCAAGAACAAAAATCTCCCTCTTGATGACATTCATTGGATTCTTGCGGATTCGCCCACCACACCACGTCCAGATGGACATAGGAGAAATGATTCAATTGTTTTTTTTTTTGGAGATCAGACAAGTGTGTACTTCACTTGATCATGCCTTCTGCTTGTGATCACCCTTCTACACGTCGATCTGAGTTGGGGAACCGTGTGAGCTCACCAATTTCGTGTTGCTGCATGCATACTTTGAGAATGCATACAAAGACTACTGTTTTGCTAATAGTTTGCAAAAACATCAATTTTGACTTTTTGAGTAATCCGCCGTCGGCCCCTCTTCTTCTCACCGCAGCCGCTGCCCTTCTGCTGCCGCTGCATCTCTCCCTCCCAAGACCGCCGCCCCATCTTGCCGCCATCACTGCTGCTTCCAGCCGCCGCCGCCGGCCCCTCTTCCTCGCACCGCAGCCGCTGCCTTTCTCCCTTCCC